ATAAGAATCACCTGTCAAAGAGCAAATAAATACGTGGATGAATCTCTGCTCAGGGCCTTCAGTCCTATAGAGCTGTAAGCTTCACAGGCTCTCAGGCTGTTGGTCCCCAGGACAGATCCACTCTGTTGGCTACTGGGTGTCTGCCTCTCAATACCTTCAGCCCACCTGGGTGGGAGTCTCCTAGCTGAGCTGGTTCTTGGTACAGTCTCACTCCCTCTCCACCACTCCTTTCCATTAATAGTACAGAGAATCCTTTATAGGGAATTTCTTAAACATTAAATGTTTAATGTTTTAAAAACCCAATAACATCAGCATTTTTAATAACAATTGTTATTGTAAATTGACAATTTATAATTGTGTATATTTCCGGAAAATAAACTGATGTTATAATTTATAAATATAATGTACAATAATTAAATTAAGCTAGTTAACATATCCATCACCTCAAATACTTAGCATTTTTTCAACTTTTATTTTAGTTTCAGGGGCTACATGGGCAGGTTTGTTATACAGAAAAATTGTAGATCACTGAGGTTTGGTATACTAATGATCTCATCACCCTGGTAGTGAGCATAGTGCCTGATAGCTGGTTTTTCAGCCCTCCCTCCCCTCCTACCTTCTCCCCTCTAGTAGTCACCAGTGTTGATGATTTCCATCTTTATGTTCATGCATAACTCAATGTTTAGCTTTCACTTATAAGTGAGAACATGTGGTATTTGATTTTTTTTCCTGCGTCAATATGTTTAGGATAATGGCTTCCATTATCCTAAGCCATCATCCTCAGCTGCATCTTTTGCAGCTATATCCATGTTGCTGCAAAAGATGTGGATCTTTTGCATCCACAAAAAGGAATGAAATCATATCCTTAGCATTTTTTTTGTCATGAGCACATTTGATATTTACTCTCTTAGCAATTTGGTAATGTACAGTACTGTGTTATTAACTGTATTCACCGCACTGTGCGATAGATCTCAAACAAACACCCCTATTCCTCCTGAGATTTTTGTACCTTGTTCATCATCTCCCTAATACCCTCACCCTCCAGCCTCTAACTACCAGTGTATTCTCTGGTTCTATGAGTTTGATTGTTTTACATTCTTCATATAAGTGAGAATATGCAGTATTATTTAAGATCAATTAATTAAGTTTTAGTTTGTATAAAGCATTTGGTATCAATGCCTACTTCTATAAAATGGAGCAGAACAAAATGATTCCCACCTGAGCCACAACCTGCATGCTGGTGTTGTCTTCACTGCAGGTGGATCATGGAGCTGTGGCCTACACAGCTCAGTGCCTTTGGTAGGGAATGATGGCTAAGAGTCAATGCTTGGAATCAAGTGGACAAGGATCAAGTCCCATTTCCACCACATATATCTGTGTGTCCTCAATTCTTAGGTACCTATATCAAAACTATCTCCTGGCACATATCACAAAATATTAGGAAGCTCCAGCATTTCAGGGATGGGGAAGGACCAAGGAAAGAGCCCAGAATAACATCCAGATTATATCACTGGTCCACTATGAAGCCCACTACCCAGATTTCTGAGCAAAAGAACATGGATATGCTGCTCAAGGTCTGACTGATAGAACTCCCAGCAGTGGTACCTCTGAAAATGCTGTGTTCACCACACTGTTTTCAAATCTGTAAAACAGGTATAGTGAGAATATTTACTTCATTTTGAAGATTTGATAACACTGTGTGCAGCAATACCCCAGTATGGCATTTGGCACTTAGTAAATGCTCAGTTAATGTTTCCTCTTCATTTACTCCTTCATGTTCTTCTACCTTAACTTCTCCTTTATCTTCTTTTCTTTTTACTTACCTTCTTCTTTCTCCTCCTCCTTTCTTCTCACTTCTTCACTTCTCTTCTGTCCCCTTTCTTCTTCCTCATTCCTTCCTTCTCTTCCTAAGAGTTGATAAGAGGCAGAGTATGACTAGTTCTGCCAACGGAAACAATTTTCCCTGTTTCTAGGACAGGAGGTGTCATGGCATAGAGTGCCAAAGAGCTACTATTTAGTTGGATAGTATCATAAATTAATAAACGCTTAATACCCCTCTTACTCCTTTTTTCCCCCCCTCTACCCTCAGTGGCATCAAATCTGGAATGGGCTATCTTCATGTCAGATCCAGGAAAAATGGAGGGGAGATGCACTAGAGAATATAAACCCCATATGAGGAAGGATTTTGTTTAACATCTTTTTTTGCGATCTAATTTACATACATCAAGTTTACACTGAAGTATATGATACAGTAGTTTTTAGTATATCCAGTTTTGTGACTATCACAGAAGTTTAGAATACTTCTCTTAGCCCCAAGGAAACCCCATCCCTATTGGGGTGTCACTCCTCATTCCCCCGACATCCAGCCCTAGGGAATTTCTAATCTACTTTGTGTCTCTATGGATTTGCCTATTCTGGATATATCATGTCAATGGAATTACACAGTATGTTACTTCTTGTGACTAGCTTCTTACACTTAGCATGTTTTCAAGGTACATCCATGTTGTGGTATGTGTCAGCACTTCATTCTGTTTTCTGGCTCAATAATATTCCACTGTGTAAGCATATCACAGTTTGTTTATCCATTCACTAATTAAGGACATTTGGGTTGTTTCTGTTTTTCAATTACTATGATAATGCCTTTATGAACCTTCATGTACATTTCTGTGTGAACATATGTTTTCATATTTATTGGGTTGATATCCAGGAATGGAATTTCCAGGTCATGTTAATTCTGTTTAACATTTTGAGGAATTGCCAGATTATTTTCCAAAGTAGCTGAGGGCAGGGATTTTTATCTTGTTTGTTCATTGCTGATCCAGTGCTGACATATGGTAAACTTACAAGTATTTATTAAATAAATGGAATATATGAATTAATAGTTGTCTGGTAAAGATATAATTTTTCCGTATATATATATAAACATGAATAAATAAATATATACATCTGTAATATATGCATTATAGATGTATGTAGTGTCTCTCTCTTTTACTAGATAGGATCTCTGTTTTACCCAGGCTGGAGTGCAGTGGTATGATCTTGGCTCACTGTAGTTTCCACCTCCTGGGCTCAGGTGATCCTCCTACTTCAACCTCCTGAGTAGCTGGGGCCACAGGTGTGCACCACCATGGCTAGCTATTTGTTTTTGCATTTTTAGTAGAGATGGGGTTTCATCATGTTGTCCAGGCTACTCTCAAATTCCTGAGTAATCTGCCTGCATTGGCCTCTCAAAGTGCTGGGATTACAGGTGTGACCCCTGTACCCAGCCAACATATTTTTGTTTAAACATTACATATGGCATATGGCTTTTTAGAGTGGCAATTGATGTTTGTTAAGAAATGGAGTTTTAAAATTCTACTCTAGCTGTGCAGTCCTGGAAAAGAGTTTTTTTTTTTTTGTGTGTGTGTTGTCCTCTGTGCCATTTTATAACTCAGAAAGAAAAAGAAATTAACTGAGCATGAAACTTAAGTGAGATAAAATTCTATGTGGCAATACACGTATACAATCATATAGGGAACATGTTAAAGTGCTAAAAAATAAGAAAGTAGTTTCTTTATTTTATCTTCCAGTCCGTTGCTAGCTCAGTAGCTAGAAGATGAAGGTTTAGGACATAAAATATGAGAAAATAATGCATGAATGACAATCTGGATGAAGTTGTAATTTTAGTTAATTTGCCATTCTCTCACTTTTGTCACCATATTTCTGTGGTTGAGCTTGCATGGTGGTGTGCATAGTGATCAGTTATGTTTATGTGATAGGAATTCTTTCTCCTGGATGGAATATACACACGCACAGAACAGACACCTTGTCTTGAAGATCTTTAAATTCCTGGAATCCAGCCCACAGTCAGGTAAATAGCAGAGGTTCAACACAGGTTTTGAGTGTAAGCAAATAAATGAGTGAGCATTTTTTACATGATTTTTATGTTTATGTGCTTTTTTAGATGGTTTTAATAATTTAAAACCATGCATACATAGGTGTGTATGTATGTATACAACTCTCGTTTATACACACACACACACACACACACACATATATACACACACACACAAATAGAAGAATAAGTATAAACATGGTTTTCTTTAGGTACTATGATTATGAGTGGTTGTTATTATCTTGTTTATAATTGTGTATATTTTCTTATATTTAAAGTTTATTTTATTTTAAAATATTTAATTAAAAATAAGGATCGAATATATTCAAGGCATACAAGGTTATAGGAATCAAATTGACACATCCATCACCACCCACGTTGTATATTACGTTCTCTGAACTTACCTTATATCTGAAAGTTCATACTCTTTGACCATTTCCCCATTTCTGTCACTGCCAAGCCCCTGACAATTAACATTTTACTTGCTGCTATGAGTTTGGTTTTTTTAGAGTCCACATATAAGTTCAATCATACAGTATTTGTCTTTCTGTGTCAGGCTTATTTAGTTTAACATAATGTCCTTCAGGTTCATCCAAATTGTCACAAATGGTAGGATTTCCTTCTTTATTTATGGCTGAGTAAATTCTACTGTATCTATGTACCACAATTTCTTTATCTTTCATTCATTGGTGAATACTTAGGTTGATTTCTTGTCTTGGCTATTGTCATGAACTGAGATTATTTTCTTATTTCTTTGCAAAAAAACATGTATTGCACCACGAGTCAGGAAATATGTAATAAATGCATTTTAGAAAGGAAAAATAATTTATAGGTGCTTGATGATGTTTTTGACAATAAAGAGCTGAGTTACTTTGTTTGTATATGAGTTTTAAAGATCATAGCTTTAGAATATGTTTTAAAATGAAATAAATAAAAATACTATTTTAGAAGAATATTTATCCATGTATGTATAGAGGAGGAAAAAAATTAAAAAGGATGAAAATTTAAAGATAAGCTAAAATATGTATCATACAATATGGAGTTAAAATCTTAGGATATAAATTCTGGGAAAAATGTATACATAACACACAAAATATTAATATTAATTCTATTTATTTCTGAATTTTGAAGTTACAAATAGTTTCATTTTTTCTCTGTACTCTTATTTTTCAAAATTATATGTAGCCACACAATTGTTATTACAACCTGAAAAATTATTTGTAGAGCTTATTACTTTTTATGAAGGAATGTCTTTCTGAAATATACATTTGAACTTTGCTTTGATTACTATTTAGTAAAATATTAATAGGCAGAATTTTGCAATTTGTTAGAGTGAGAAAATTTACTCTCAGAAAACAAAACAAAATAACCAAGACATTCTTCCATTGGTAAATAGATAAATTATGTTACATCCAGACAAATGAATGCTATTCAGTGCTAAAAAGAAATGAGTTATCAGGCTGTGAAAAGACATGGAGGAATCTTAAATGCATATTGCTAGGTGAATGAATCCAATCTGAGTCTGAGGTTGCAGAGAGGAAGAGATGAATGAGCAGTTAAACTGTTCTGTATAATACTATAATGGTGTGTGGACATCACTCTACCTTTGTCAAAACCTCTAGAATGTACAACATCAAGAGTGAGCACTAATGTAAACTACGGGCTTTGGGTGATAATGACATGTCCATGTTGGCTCATTGTTATTAACAAATGTATCCCTCTGGGTGGGATGTGGATAGTGGGGGAGACTGTGCATGTGTAGGGAGAAGGGAGCATATGAGAACACTCTGTATTTTCTGCTGGATTTTGCTGTAAACGTAAAGCTTCTCTAAAAAATAAAGTAAGATTAAAAAAATCAGTGAATGATATTTAGCATTCCTACTTTCAATGAATTATATTTGGGCTTTCTTTTGGAATTTTTGTTTGCTTTTGTTTTTAGCTGGCTCTGAAAAATGCTGCATTGAGAAAGCATTTCACAGCTGCTTCTTAAATATTCAAGAATGTGTTCCTCCCCTCAGCTGAGATATTTGACCTTCAGCCTCTTTGTGTTAGAGTATAAGAATGGAAAGTATAATTGTCGCAGGGAATCAAGTAAACATCTTATTAGAAAATCTGTTGAGAAAATGTTGGCACAAGTTGGTGTTCTGGGTGTGTTTGAAATGCATATAAGGATTGGCTCATATATAAACTTTGTCCATGTATGATGGGCTAAATTTGGTATCAGAATAGGTTTTAAGATATATATATATATATATATTTTTTTTTTTTCCCAGCATCTATTTGTCCTGTTTCTGGTGATGACACCCTGAGTTTCCTCTGGAGAGCTGCCCATTGCTTTACTCTCACCCATATGGGGCTCCACTCCCAAGATCAGGCCCGCAGAAAGTGACTCAGACCCATTCTAATCAGAGCACCAACAGTGCTCAGACCCATTGTAATCAGAGCACCCACAGTGACTGGCTCACAAATGGGCTCAATGAGGACCTAGGGCAAGGAATTTCTTAAGTGACTAGAATGAGGTGGGGAGTGAGTGTGTGTGTGCGTGTGTGTGTGTGTGTGTGTGTGTTTTGCAAAGTGAGCATGAATTCCAGAGTCTCATTGCTTAGGCTTGAATCCCAGTTCTCCACTTCCACCACCAACCAGCTAGGTAAACTTGGAAAAGTCACTCTTCCTCTCTGGGCCTCAGGCCTCAGTCTCTTTCCTGTAAGATGGTGTCAAGAATACCACCTACCTCATGGTGGGGGTTCTTATGAGGATCGAATAAGTTAACTTTTGTGGGGTGTGGTATGGTGTTTGTCTCAACATTTTCACTTAGACACGTAACAGGCATCTTAAGCTCAACATACCCCAAATGAATTCTCCTCTCATAGTCTTTCTCTACTCTGTAAATGACAAGTTGCTCAAGCCAAAAATCGTGGAGTTATTTCTGACCGCTCTCATTATCTCTTTACTCCATCGGCAAATCCTGTCTGCTGTATCTTTAAAATATATTTAGAATTTAATTGCATCTGCTGATGCCAACCTAGTTTAAGGCACCATCATCTCTTGTCTGGAATATGGCACCATGGCTTCCAAAATGGCCTCATTGTTTCTATCCGCACCCACTTCCATTTCCATTCAACACACAGCCAGAGTGAGCCTGATAAAACATGTCAGGAGATGTCACTTCTCTATACTAGTGTCCAGCTATCTCTGGGTCCCTGAGGCACATACAATTAATTACATCTCTATTTTCATCTCCCACTTATTTGCTCCTTATTCTTCCTGTACCATGGACCTCTGCTGTTCTCTGAACACACCAGGCTTGCTTCTGCCTTAGGGCCTTTGCAATCGCTCTTCTCTGTCTGGAGCCCTGTTCCTCCAGCTTTCACCTCACCTTATGCAGACTCTTACCCAAGTGCCACCCTCTGTGTGAGACCTTCCTTGGTCCTTTGTTCAGAATTCCAGCCCTCCCCACAGTCCCAATCCTATTGCTTGCTGAGTTCCACCTCACATGAGCTGTGGTTTACTTACCTTGTCTATTATACATCTATTTCACTTTAAAATATAAACTTCTGGGGACTGAATTTGCTTAACTGCTATAAAGCCAGAACCTAAAACAGCTCAGTAAATATTTAATGCATGAATGGATGAATAAGAGGATGGAAGTAAAAAGAATTGCATTAAAGTGTGATGCTCATCAACAAATAGTTATACAGTGCCTTCTAAGCACCAGGGACTTACTAGCCACTGAGGATGCACCTGAGACTAAGATTGTTTGGTTTCCTTCTACAATCTAATAGGGGATGGAGATGGGGTGGCAAAATTGTACCAAAAAATCAGAAAGTATAGAATGCATATGGTTGTCCATGATATGAGCTTGTAATTCAGATGTGAAGGCCTGTAAAACATGTCTCAGATTTGGAGTGTCTAAGCTGTTACCTGAAGGTTAAGGAATAGTAACTGGGTGAAAGAGGCGGGGCAGTGGGAGAGCTAAAAAGTCACCAGATCTGTTAAGCTGCGGTCAGACCTAAGGGAGGATGTGGCTGAGAAGTTGACTTCTCATGAGCTCCTATCTTTACTCCGATTTTACTTAAATGAATATATATATATTTTTTTCCACTGAAAATATGTATATTTTCCATGAATATATATATGTATTTTTTCCATTTAAGTAAAGATATATTTTTCTATACTATTCTTTCTACTTCACCGTGTACACATGGTTCCTGCCAGGCCATATCTCGTCTCCCAAATCGCCAGAGCCCAGACTCCAATACCAGCTCTCCACCCCCACTAGCTCTTTGAGCCTGAGCATCTTATGTAATCTCCCTGTGGCTCAGGCTTGCTGCAAGACATGTGAGTGTACATCAAGCCAAAAGCAGCCAATTTCCCTGGGAAAGCCTCTAGACATGAGGGTGCCGTCTGTCTTCAGTTCCCCCACCAGGTCAGCTCCATGTCCACAGGGCAATTGCTTGCTTTTGTTCACCAGAAATACCAAGTTCTCTGTCCCTAGCACCAGAGCCATGCCCAGCATGTGGCTGGCACTCAAGCGATGCCTGCAGAATAAACAACTGCCTCTCCCATGGTTCGAACTCAGCAACAACAGGCTGGACATTCACCAACAGATCCAGGGTCTTCATCGGATTCACCAGATAAAATCACCTGTCAACAAGCCAACAGCATCTTTTGCGCGTTTGCTGAGGAATAAGGGAGAAAAGAGAGATGCTACAATTCATTACCTAATTCTTGTTTTTTTCTTTCAGCAATAATTGCTAACATTTTTGAGTGTCAGGTCCTTTGTGAACAATACCCTCACAACACTGCCATCATGTAAACGTGATGATTTTCATACTGTAAATGTGGAAACAAAGGCTTACAGTTCTCAAAGGGGCTTTAGGGTCTGTAGCGGGAACTTCTGGAAACATGCTCTTGGGTGCAGGTCTGTGGCAGCTGTCAGGGAGCCTTTTTTTTTTTTTCCCTAAGCCAAACTGTGTTTAGCTTTGTTAAAGATTCTGTCTATCAACAGTCATGGTATTTCAACAGGACATGGGTAGACAATCATTAACAGTCTACAACAACTTTCGAACTTTCTTCTTCCATAAACTGCCAAAAATCAGGAAGCCACTGTAAAACCCATGAAATCTTCGACTGATGCTCTGAACAGGGAAAGTTTAGAGTGAAAGTTGACATTTCACATTTAGCATGCTCTTTAACAACTTTTCACGAGCCAACCCTGACTTTCAGGAAGTGAAATAAAAATGGCAGAATTTATCTGAAGATCCACAATCTAGAATTGAATGGAACTGCTGCTCCTTTGAGGGGCACCATCTCAGAGGCCTCACTGGAAAGTCCAGACTGCCTGACACACTGGTAACCATTATTAGGGGTCAGGTCCCAACAGGTGTCTGGGGTTAAGGGAGTTAAGGCTATGCTGAAAGATGGAAAGGAAGAGGACGTAAAAATGAATGAATTTGTTTTTCCATACCATAAGGCTTTCGTGCCAAGGTGACCATGTGGTCAAAGTCAGGGAATCCCTCCTCCTGGGAACCAAGTGGAAGTCTTTCCAAAATAGAAGGGGGCTGGGCATGGTGGCTCATGCCTGTAATCCCAACGCTTTGGGAGGCCGAGGTGGGCAGATCATTCGAGGTCAGGAGCTCGAGACCAGCCTGGCCAATATGGTGAAACTCCGTCTCTACTAAAAAGAAAAATAAAAAAAATTAAAAACTAGAAGGGAAAGGTGTTTTCCCCACATCAGTCCAGTTTCAGAGACATTCTATTACTGACATATGCTCCTTCCTCCAAAAACAACAACAAAGTGTTCTGTGTACTAACAACATAGCTTTAAAAAGAGTAAAACAAAATTCTGATTTTCAGAACTTGATAAAAAGTAGTATTTCAAATTGTACAGCCACCAGAAGTACACAGTTTTCAAAAATGCACACACTCCCCTCAGCATCCCCAGCAGCTTCAGCTTCCTGTGCCTGGTCTGTTCAAGCATCTCCGTTTTCTGCAGGGTTAGCCCCTCCTTGCCAGCATCAGCTTTTCCCTTTTTTCCCTTTGGGTACCTTCTCTCCCTTCTTTGCAGGGGCCTTTTTAGGCTTCGGCTCTGGCTTTGGAGGGGCATGGTTGGCAGACAACTTGCAGATCTGCCATGCGGTTCATCCTTCACCTTGGTCTTATCTTCTTCAGCATCCCCTTCAGCCATTCTCTCGGGCTTGCTGGCACCGGCGGTGGGACGTAGGCATTGGGTGCGGGATGCAGCAGCTTGTGGGCTTTGGTTGGTCCAGGGATTGTTCTCTCCTTTTCTACACACTGCTCCTCTCACAAGGCTTTGAGAGTCACCAGGAAGCTCAGAGTTGACCTGTTTTCTTCAGGGAGATCTTTGTCTCCTTCGTATATTTTGTGCCTCCTCAAGTCAAAATATCATCACAAAAAAGAATGGATAAATGCTGAATATCAAAAACAAAAGAAAAGCATGCTCATTGATGCCACACAGATCACACCTGTGACCTACTTCTTTCTAACAGATTCATGTAAGACAGCTGCATGATTTCTCCTCCCACATCATAAACCAAGCAAGGCTGCAGCTTGTATTTACTACTCTTTCTGTATTTCTTTTTTTTTATTTTGAGATGGAGTTTTGCTCTTGTTGCCCAGGCTGGAGTGCAGTGGTGCGATACCTCACCCAGGTAATTTTTGTATTTTTAGTAGAGACAGGGTTTCACCATGTTGGTCAAGATGGTCTCAATCTCTTGGCCTTGTTATCTGCCTGCCTTGAGCTCCCAAAGTGCTGGGATTACAGGCGTGAGCCACCATGCCTGGCCCTCTTTCTGTATTTTTAATGAAATAAGTATAAATAGAACTTGGCAGGATGCCTCAAAATGCTTTTAATTCACTCGGGTTCCTGCTCTTCCTTCTAGGCTTCCTTGTTTATTTAATCAGAGTAAAGATAGGGGTTCATGAGAAGTCAACTTCTCAGCCACATCCTCCCTTAGGTCTGACTGAAGCTCAACAGATCTCACCTTTTAGCTCTCCTGCTGCCCCACCTCCTTCACCCAGTTACTATTCCTTAACCTTCAGATGACAGCTTAGACACTCCAAATTCAAGACATCTTTTACAGGCCTTCATGTCTGCCTTACAAGCTCATATCATGGATAACCATATGCATCCTATACTTTCTGATTTTGGGGACAGTTTTGCTACCTCACCTCCATCCCCTACTAGACTGTAGAAGGAAACCAATCTTTGTATCAGGTACGTCCTTAAGTCTCTGTTACTTAGAGGGCACTGCACAACTATTTGTTGATGAGTATCACACTTTGACGCAATTCTTTTTACTTCCATCCCCTTATTCATCCATTCATACACTAAATATTTACTGAGCACCATGCACTGTTTTAGGTACTGGATATACAGCAGTTAAGCAAATTCAGTCCCCAGAAGCTTATGTTTTAAAGGGGAATAGACATATAATAGACAAGATAAGTAAACCATAGCACACGTGAGGTGATGGGGGGTAAGAAAGGAACTCAGCAGGGAGCAGGAAAAGGACTAGGGGGAGGGTCGCAATTTTGGATAAAGAACCAAGGAAGGTCTCACTCAATATTCGATCCCTGGACTAAAATATGAAAAGGAAATATATATTTAATTATATATTTCCTTATATATATCTAGAAAATGAATATAATATTTTGTAATCATTTTTAAAGCTATCAAAGATTAGGCTAAAAAGGAAAGATACCACCAAAATGTCAATGGTAGTTGGGCTATGAGGGGGAGCATTTTTCTTCTTTTCTCTATTTCCACTTTTTAAAATGTTTTTGCTGTTTTGTTTTGTGTTTTTAGACAGTCTCCCTCTGTCACCCAGCTGAAGTGCAGAGGGGCAGTTTCAGTTTATTGCAACCTCCACCTCCCAAGCTCAAGTGATTCTCCTGCTTCAGCCTCCCGAGTAGCTGGGGTTATAGCTACTTTTGTATTTTCAGTAGAGTCCTGATTTCACCATGTGGGCCAGGCTAGTCCCCAACTCTTGACCTCAAGTGATCTACCCACCTCAGCCTCTCAAAGTGCTGGGATTACAGGCATGACCCACCAAGCATGACTAAAATGTGATTTTTTAAAAAATTGAATGATTTTAAAACGACTAATGAAGTTGGCCAAAAAAAGAACACGTGTAATATTTATTCTAGAACCAGTGTATTTACTAACCAGCTCTGTGATCTGGAGATAGTCATGCCTCTTGTCCCCAGGTGTCCCCAAATCCACCCTGTTTTTCTCCCTAAAGTTCTGCTTAAATGCTGTTCCTCCTTTTTGCAAACCTTGCTTGCCCTTAACACCGTGCTGTAGTGTCACCGTCTTTTCAAAGCCTTCCTAAAAACTACTCCAATTCATGTGATTCCCCCTGTTTGCTACATCACCACTACAGTATTAGTGCTTATTTGTTGAGTACTTGCTAGGGGCCAGGCATTCAGCTAAGTTCTCTGTATACATTACCTGATTCAACTCTCAAAGGATTCAATAACAACGCCCACAGATATTTTTCAGCCTGTTCGACAGATGAGGAACTTGTCCTTCAGAGAATCTTTATTATTTGACCAAATAGTAAAGCCCACCCTGGCCCACCTGACCGCAAAGTGCCCTTAAGTGCTGTGCTATACAGGGATTCCTTAAAACCCATTTATTCTGTGCCCTCCATACTCAACACAGTACCTGGCCCATGGTGGGTCCTTAATATTTGTGGCATGAATGAATGTCAGAATATGCTGTTTTTCAAGCCTCAATGCAGTATAACTATGCACAAATAAATCTGCAATCACGATATTACCATATGTTGAGTGTCTAGCCTGTTCTAGGTGTGTATATTATCTCAATTAATCCCCACTGCAACCCGATGAGTAGACATTGCACTGTACCCATTTTACAGATGAGAAAATAGAAATTCTAAAATGTTAGTAACTTGCCCTAAATCATATCACAGCAACAGGGTGTGGTAGGAAGACCTGGGTAGTTTCTTGTGCAGGTGTTATCTTCTTCCCTTCAAATATACCAGAGTGCTAGATGTTTGTAGCCAAGCATCTGACCTGCAGAAAGATAAGGTGAAAAATGAGAATGTTCACAACGAAGTGATGTAGCAGAAGTAAAGGTCTATGGATTTCCTTGAGGTTTTATTCACTCAGGTGTTCGCTACATTGCACAGGAAGAGGAACTAAATCTGAAGTTGCCCCAAATCCCTGATGATTAGTAATCAGAAATGAACACAAACAAACTTGAAACTGTAACTGTGTGAGTGTTGAAAAACCCACATTCTCAGGCACTGTCCCTCACAACTGGCATCATCCCTTTTGTTGGCAATATCTTCCAAAATTTTAAGTGCTTATACTTTTTGACCCAGGAAGTCTACGTTTAGGAGTGTATGTACTTGAACACCTAAAAATATATGCTACAAGAATATTTGTGGTAGCATCATGTGCCCATTTATATAGGTCTAGTTAAGTAAACTCTAGCATAATATACAATAGAATTCTAGGGGTCACCTAAAAGAATTTCGTAAGCAACATGTGCTGATATTTAATGTCTTCAACATATATTATATGTGAAGAAAGCCAGGTACACAACAGGGTATATCTGATGCTGTAATTTTTATGAAACAACAAAGATCTCTCTCTCTCTCTCTCTCTCTCTGTGTGTGTGTGTGTGTGTGTGTATGCTGCTTGTTCATTAAAATGGGAAGAGAGGAGTTCAGGGAAGAAGAAATAATTGTTTTCTGAATCTAGCACTTTGATCTATTTGACGTTTATTCCATGTATGTTTATCATATTTATTGTCAGAAACAAATAGCCTTTTCAAAGGGGTGTGTTTTACAGCAGGTCTTAGGTGTTTCATTTCACAAGCTAGAAAGTTATAAATTTCGTAAGATGGAAAGCTGAACTATAAAGTTCAGTTTTGTAAAGAACAGGTGGCAAAACTTCCTGCATGGTAACTGATTTTGAACCTTGTGCTATATATAGGCCTATAGCCCTCATGAAAGAAAGCACATGCCCAGAACGAGGAGGTAGAAGAAGGCAGGGAACCAGCAAGGTCAGAAATGACAGAATTGAATCCAGAGGCAAAACCCACATTTCTCAGTCATTCACAAACCGGTTTGTTCCGCCAGCATTTATAGACATCAACTTGATTTCAGGGTACTAAAAGAATAAATTTCAATTGCTGTCAACCTAGCCTTGTGCAAACTTCCGGTCTCCTGAGGAGGAAACACCTCAAAAAAAATTCTCAGAGTGTGCATTCCTGGGCTAGGTGGTCTAGACCAGAGCCTCTGAGATAGGCATTGTCTCAGGAGATCTGCTGGCATCTATGTTATTCAGCGAGAAGTGTGTACAACAAATTGCAGATAGAACCTAGCTTGGGAGCTGAGTGGGGTTAGAAAAAGCTTCCTGAGGATGTTGCATTAGAGCTGAGACACGAAGGGGCAGTAGGAATAAGCAGGGTGAGGGCATGACATCTGTGAAGGCCCAGAGGAAGAGGAGAGCTTGGGCTGGTTGGGGGCAGAGAGAAGGCCAGCAAGAGTGAAGACGCATAGGAGTTGTCGGGGACAGAGGTTCTCATGGCAGCTGGAGAAGCAGACCCAGGCTGACCGACAGGCTACTTGCCAGAGCAAGAGGGGAGGGAGCCAGAATTATGTTGTAAAATTTATGTCTTTAAAAGGGGTAGCTTGGAAAAAAAAAAAAACCCCACCAGCCTGGCTGTGGTGTAGACAATACATGGAGGAAGGTGGAAAGAGTGGATTGGGGAGGATGGCGGGGAAGCTCTTCCTGAGTGAGAGAGGAGGTGAACTTTCTCTTGGACTAAGTTGGTGGTAGTGGAGATGAAGAAAATGGTTATTTAATGAATAATTTTCAGGCAGTAGGAACCAATGTCTATGTGGATATGTGGGATAAGGGGGAGGGAAGAGTGAAAGACTGAAATTTCTAGCTTGAGTAACTGAGGGAGATGTTGGCTCTTTTCATGGAAATGCCAAAGACCAGAAGAGGAGCTGGTTTGACAGAAAGATCAACAGTTCAGTTTTGAACACAGTGAGTCTGCATTGCCTATGAAAGCACTCAAGTACAAATGTTATCTTCTTGTATCAACTCTTTGGTCCCTTCAGGACCTTCCAGCCATGAGCTCTCCCATCTTTTCGTGATCTCTCACCCTCCTTTTGCCCTCACTTCAGTTTCTGTGGGACTTAGATGCAATGGATCATTATTAAAATCTCATCCTTGAGGAGAGTGAATGGCTTGAATCCAGGAGTTTGAAATCAGCCTGGACAACATGGTAAAACCCCATCTCTATGAAAAAATACAAAAAGTTAGCCAGGTGTAGTGGTGCATACCTGTAGTCCCAGCTACTTGGGGGAATGAGGCAGTAGGATCACTTGAGCCCAGGAGTTTGAGGCTGCAGTGAGCCATGATCTCAGCACTGCATCCAGAGCTTGGGTGACAGAGCAATACCCTGTCTCAAAAAAAAAAACCCCAAAAAGCAACAACAAAACCCCACCAAAGAACAAAGAACAAAAAACAGAAACAAAGCAACCCACAAAACCCAAAACAAAACCCATCTTTGCTTAAAGTCTATACCTCCTTGATTTTTTTTCTCCATAATACTTACTGGTGTTAGAGGCTGAATGGTGTACCCCGCAAATTCGTATGTTGAAATCCTAACCCTCAGGACCTTAGAATATGACTGTATTTGAAGACAGGGTAATCGCTTGAAAGAGATAATTATGTTAAAATGAGGTCGTTAAAGTGAACCCAAATTCAGTATGACTGGTGTTCTTATAAAAAGAGGAAAATTGGACACACAGGAGTTCTGAGGGAAGACCACATGAAGACAGAGTGAGAAGACAGCCACTTACAAGCCAAGGGAAGAGGTCTCAGAAGAAATCAGTCTGATGACACCTGGATTTTGGACTTCCAGCCTCCAGGCCTGTGAGACGATATGTTTCTGTTGTTTAAGCCACCCAGTTGTGGCACTTTATTATGGTAATCCTAGAACACAAGTACATGCATCAAACTTCAACCCTGGCAAACCCAGCTCTTCTCACTTTCACCCTTTATTTAAGCAGTGGGGAAAAGAACACAACGTACTAACTGACCTTTAAAAAAAATTCCTGACCATTTGATGACACCCTGATAATCCACAGTCCATGTGCTCTCCTGGTCTCCTTCCAGGTTTACCAGCACCCACCCACTCTCAGAAGATGACTTTTTTTTTTCTCATTTCACTGAGAAGCAGCAGAAAAGGACATCCATATGTCATCATCACCAAATCCATGAACCTCCTAACCCTGAGAGCTGTGTTTTTCGTCTTTCTTCTGTGAGGTGGTGGAGCTCCTACCCACACTCTCACCTGTGCTTTGGATACCTCTCACCAATATATGAGTCCAGAAGTTCGAGACCAGCCTGGGCAACATGGCGAAACCCTGTTGCTACAAAATAAATAAATAAAAAACTAGCCAGGCCCACAGTGGTGCACACCTGTAGTCCCAGCTACTCGGGAGACCAAGGCAGGAGGATCTCTTGAGCTCAGCGGGCTGAGGGAAATTACTGGCACATTGTCAATTGTTGCTTGCCTACTTGGTCATCCCAGCATCCCACAAACACACTGTGATAATCTCACCTCAGAACAAAATACTCTCTCCTGACTGCCCAGCATCCTCTAGCCATGGCTTTATTTCTCTCTTCCATTTTACAGAAAAACTCTCCACATACACAAACTCCAGCTAACTTACTGATACCACCTCTCTTCTCACATAGTCTCCTGAACCTACTATAAATGGGCTTTGTCCTCATCGTTCCTCTAAAATGATTCCTCTTGTCAATATCATTAATAACTTTCAGGGTACCTTTTCTCTTGTCTCAGGGGTTACCCTCCCCCAGTTCTCTTTGATGAGGCTCTCTCATCTTTCTGGCCTCTGCTAGAGGACTGGCTCATGGCTGACACTCTGAAACTCTTCTTTTGTTTCTGCACACACTCTTCACAGGATTTTATGTATGCTCTTGGCTTTAAAAACTGTCCAAAGCTAAAGCCTCCCTCATTATTGCCCCCAGCATTAATACCTTGCCCAAACTCCAGATGCTTATACCCAAGTGGCTACTTGATGCCTCCTGTTCGGGGCTAATAGGCATCTCAAACTTAGCACATCAAAAACGGAATTCGTGATTTATTCCTCTTCCCAAGACCAAATCTACTTTACCTCCTGTTTTCCCATAGCTCCATAGTGCAGTGAGTTCTTTCCTTTGGTCAGTTACACATATAAAAAATCTTGGTATCATCTTTGACTCATCTCTTTCTTGCAAATACTACATCCAATTCATCAGCAAATCCAGCTGCTGCTACCTTCAAACTATATTCAGAATCCACCTTCTTTTTTCCTTTGCCATCTGTGTTACTGCTACTAGCTGTTCTCCATCCTTATCCTCCTACAATTTATTCTCAATACCAATGCCAGATTGAGCCTTTAAAATAATATACCAGATCAAGTCTTTTGGTGACCTTGAATGGGTTAAAAATAAAATATACATGAATGGGTTAAAAATAAAATACAAATACAGACACATAGACCAAAGAAACATAATAGAGATCTCAGAAATAAGACCTCACATCTACAACCATTCGATTTTTGACATACCTGACAAAAACAAGCAATGGGGAAAGGATTTCCTATTTAATAAATGGTGCTGGGAAAAATGGCTTAGCCATAGGCAGAAAATTGAAATTGGATCCCTTCCTTACACCTTATTTAGACATAATACTCAAGATGGATTAAAGATTTAAATGTAAAACCCAAAACTATAAAAGTCCTAGAAGAAAATCTAAGCAATACCATTCAGTACATAGGCATGGGCAAAGATTTCATAATGAAAATGTCAAAAGCAATTGCAATAAAAACAAAAATGACAAATGGGATCTAATTAAACTCAGGAACTTCTGCACAGCAAAAGAAACTATCATCAGAGTGAATAGACAATCTACAAAATGAGAATTTTCACATCTATCCATTTGACAAAGTTCTAATATCCAGAATCTTCAAGGAACTTAAACTAATGTATGAGAAAGAAACAAATGACCCCATTAAAAAGTGGGCAATGGACATGAACAGACATTTCTTAAAAGAAGACATTTATATGGCCAACAAACATGAAAAAAAGTTCAACACCACTGATCATTAGAAATAGGCAAACCAAAACCACAATGAGATACTATCTCATGCCAGTCAGAATGGCAATTATTAAAAGGTCAACAGATGCTGGTGAGGCTGTGGAGAAATAGGAACACTTACACTGTTGGTGGGAATGTAAATTAGATCAACCATTGTGGAAGACAGTGTGGGGTTTCCTCAAAGAACTAGAACCAAAAATATCATTTGACCCAGCAATCTCATTACTGGTTATATACCCAAAGGAATATAAATCATTCTATTATAAAGATACATGATGCATATGTTCATCGTAGCACTATTCACAATAGCAATGACATGGAGTCAACCCAAATGCTCATCAATGACAGATCAGATAAAGAAAGTGTGGTACATATACACCAGGGACTACTGTGCAGCCACAAAAAGGGACGAGATCACGTCCTTTGCAGGAACGTGGATGGAACTGGAAGTCATCATCCTTAGCAAACTAACACAGGGACAGAAAACCAAACACTACATGTTCTCACTTATAAGTGGGAGTTGAAGGATAAGAGAACACGTGGACGGACACAGGGAGGGGAACAACACACACTGGGGCCTGTTGAGGGAAGTGGAGGGAGGGAGAGCATTAGAAAGAATGGCTAAAACGTGTGGGGCTTAATATCAAAGTGAAGGATTGATAGGTGCAGCAAACCACCGTGGCACACATTTATTTACCTATGCATCAAACCTGCACATCCTGCTCATGTGTTCTAGAACTTTAAATTAAGTTACATTAAATAGATAAAAAGTAAATAAAATGCACAGTCCGAAAATGTCACCCTGTCCTACAGGGCCGTGGGTGATCTGGCCTCCTGCTACTTTCCAAACTTCTGATTTCCTCAACTCTCCAGCCTAACTACAGTTTGTCTCCTGCTGCTCCCGGAACAGGCCAAGGGCTTCTCTGCCTCAGTCTTTTCATCTGCCATTTCCAAATGTTTGCCCCAAAGGAGTTTGGTAATTTGATTGCTCACATTACTTAGGTCTGTTTGAATGTCACAGATGTTCTCTTAACCAAGAGGCAAGAAAAGCCACTTTATTATTTATTAAACTCCCACAAAGAGTGCAGTATTATTGTATGCCAGACCCTGCTTCAAACACATTCCACGGACTATAAAATTGCATCTCTGAGCAGCTCCATGGAGCTGGTAGTAACAACTTACATTTACTGGGTGATTGCCATGTGCCAGGTATTAAGCTAAACGTGTTGTAAACATTAACTCACTTAATCCTCATAACAATCCCATGAAGTAGGTACTGCTATTATCCTGGCTTTACATCTGAAGCACAGAGAGGTTAAGTAACTTGCCCCATGTCATCCAGCAAGAACGAAATTTGAACCCAGAGCTTAGCTACTGCTGCCACTTGAGAGAAGGAGTCAGACTTGAGTCTTTGAAGGTGGTTGACCAGGCATTTGCCAGAGCTAAGAGGGAGAAGTAGGACACCCTTTTCAAGGCAGAGAGCATTGTGTGCACACAAGTATAGAAGCGGGCATTCCACCCTCATTCTTTCCAGGAAGCAAATGTGGCGCAGGTGTAAGGCGCACGTGGCTAAAGGGAGTTAACGGAGGGAGTATAAGGATGTACTGTCTGCCGCCTTAGGACACACCTGCAGAGGATTAAGGTGGCTGGTTCTCCGTGGAGGTGGAGTGGTTGGGTCACTGCACTGGAGCCTATAGTTGTTGGTCTTTTAAACTCTTATTGGTTTAACCAGCCACGGAACTCTGAGGCAAGGGGTTGGGGGTGGGAAGGGAAACAGAGAAAAGGCAAGTGAAAGAGAAGGGGAGGTGCAGTTTCAGAACCGGCCCGCCTTACCCCTGCTGCCTAGCCTCATCTTCGCCCAGCCGACCCCTCCTGGAGCCCTATGGCCAACTGTGAGTTCAGGCCGGTGTCTGGGGACAAACCCTGCTGCCGGCTCTCTAGGAAAGCCCAGCTCTGTCTTGGCGTCGGTCTCCTGTTCCTGACCCTCGTCGTGGTGGTCGCGGTGGTCGTCTCGAGGTGGCACCAGCAGTCCCAGCGCTCGCAGTGGGGAGGGCGGGGCACCACCGACCGCTTTCCCGAGATCATCCTGGAGCGATGCGTCGAGTACACTCAAACCCTCCTTCCTGAGATGAGGTGGGTCGGCGACTAAGGCGCACCGGTGGGCACCGTGGGGACAGGAGTGCCCCGCGCGCGGGGGAGCCTCCGGGATCGCCTGGAACCAGGCATCTACCGTGGCGGGTCAGCCGGAAGACCTCCGGGGGGGGTGCCAAGTCGGGAGTCCCGGGCTTGGGGCTCCGCGAGCCGCTTGCAGGAGCAGCTGGCCTTGGCGCCCAGCGTGTCCACGGAGGGGGTGCTGCTCGGTGGCTCTGCTGCATAGCCAGTGAACACTTGGCACCGATTCCAGCCTTCTGGGCGAGGCGCCCAGAGCCCAGCCCCTCTCGGGGCTGCAGCCCACTCTCGGCGCGCTTAGCCCCGCTTCACCGCTTCGCGGACACAAAATAACTTGCAGGCGCAGGGGGTAGCTGGCATTTTCTTTCCTTCTTTTCCTCCTTTCCTTTCCTTTCCTTTCCTTTCCTTTCCTTTCCTTTCCTTTCCTTTCCTTTCCTTTCCTTTCCTTTCCTTTCCTTTCCTTTCCTTTCCTTTCCTTTCCTTTCCTTTCCTTTCCTTTCCTTTCCTTTCCTTTCCTTTCCTTTCCTTTCCTTTCCTTTCCTTTCCTTTCCTTTCCTTTCCTTTCCTTTCCTTTTTCCTTTTCCCCTTTCCCCTTTCCCCTTTCCCCTTTCCTTTTTCCCCTTTCCTTTCCTTTTTCCTCTCTCTCTCTCTCTCTCTCTCTCTCTCTCTCTCTCTCTCTCTCTCTCTCTCTCTCTTTCTCTCGTGACTGGCATTTTCATGGGGTTTCCGCTCGGTGTCTCTGACCAGAAAGTGCCCCAGACGGTTACAGAGGACGCTTGGTTACAGGGCTTGCAAAGCCTGTGGACAAGGAGGAGGGTGTGGAAGGGCCAAACCACGGAAGTTAGTTTTATTGATTTATGCAAAATAGCACTCCGATTCTTTTTGCGCGGCCTGAAATACATGTGACCAGAGAAGTAATTAACAAAACAACGTCAGTTTCTGAAAACTGAGAATATTACTTAGATGATAAGGCGCAGCAACGCGGTGAATCTGTACAAATCTTGGAAAAAACCACCACATGACTCTATGGGAGCTTCCAGGTTTCTCATGAGCCTTCTCAGCTACTAACCTCTCCTTAAGGGAACTGCTGTTTTGTCTTCGTTCCCAGGGCTCGCTTTCACCCGGAGGATTCATTTTCGTTGCCTGCGAAACGGAACAAGCGGGGAAGACAGGCAGGGAGAGCTGCTACTTTACGCTCTGTGCTTGCGATTGCAAAACCCCGCATTTAAACAACCCCAGGAAATGAGCGAAAAAGCTTCCCTCGCCTCCCCGTGCATACTCAACGGTTCTGGTTGCAAAAAAAAAAAAAAAAAAAAAAAAAAAAAAAAAAAAAAAAAAAACCTTCACCTCTTGGGATTCCCAGTGTCCCGTTAGTCGTTTTGTTTACACATAATTAGATACGTAATGGAGAGAGAAACTAGAAGTTAAGGCGTTCCTTCAGGCTGCTCTGTAAAGTATGAAGTGAAATTCAAAGCAACCTCATGTTTATTTTCATCTTAATTTAGCAGTTAAAAAATGTTTTTTGGTTAATGTCCAATCATCTTTGGTAAATTCACGCTGTTAACTCCGTGAGCACACCCATAAGGCAAGCAAAATGCCACAGAAATCACATGACTTTTGATGCTTTTTATGTTTGTCAGGATGCGAGTTCAGTATTGAACACAGGTGTGTGCACACATATGCATATAGACATTTGTTCAACATATACATATGTATGTATGCATATTCAACTAAATATTAACAAATTAATACTTATTTAAACCAGAAGCCAGTTAAAATAGTTGACAGGATATATATTAGCCTGTTAATTTTTTGGTGAACTCATCTTTCCAAACATCTCATACTGTATACAGACACACACAACTCTCTCTCTCTCTCTCTCTCTCTCTCTCTCTATATATATATATATATATATATATATATGTACATATAAATAGGTTAGTACTAATATGGTTTTTACTATGTGCCAGGCACTTAAAACTGTCAAATCATTTAGTCTTTTGACAACAATATGGCATAATTACTATTGATATTCCCATTTTACAGATAAGCAAACTAAGGTAGAGTTTCAGTAAATTGCCCAAGCTGGCACCAGAGACTGAACTCTTAGCCACTAAACTATACTATCTATATATGTTCCTATATAGGAACATATAGACTATATTGACTATAAAATGTACTGATTATGTCTAGAGAGTTTTGAAACAGAAAGGATGATAATAGAAAACAGCATCCGGGCACGGTGTCTCAAACATATAATCCTAGTGCTTTGGGAGGCTGGGACAGGTGGATCATTTGAGCTCAGGCATTCAAGACCAGCCTGGGCAATATGGTGAATTACTGTCTCTACTAAAAATACAAAAATTAGCCAGGCATGGTGCTGCACACCTGTAGTCTCAGCTACCTGGGGGACTGAGGCATGAGGATGGATTGAGCCCAGGAAGTTGAAGCTGCAGTGAGCTGAGATGGTGCCACTACACTTCAGCCTAGGTTACAGAGTGAGTCCCTATTTAAAGAAAAATAAAAGGAAAATAGGATTAATGAGTATGTTGAGACAACAGGTTTAAACCAAAACATATCCTTGGGTGCTTTAGGAGTATGAATGCTAGAGTCCCACTGCTTGGGTTTAAATCTTGGCTCCGTCACTGTGTGACCTTGGGCTAATTACTTAATTTATCTGAGCCACCCTGTTCTCAACTTTAACATGGAAGCATTAAATGTCGTACCAACCACGTAGGGAATTTATGAGAATTAAGAGGAATAATTTTAACATGTAACAAGTGCACAAAATGTTATTTTTTTGAAAACACTTTATCACAGATACTTTCCCACAGTCTTAAGTTTAGATGGAGACCAATCATTTAAAATGAATGCCTAGTATTATTTACTTAAATCATGATGCAGTAACTCAGTCCTCCAACAATGGAATTTATGTTGTTTCCACTTTTTTTTTTTTACAATTATTCTTTTTTAAAATTATTTTGAGACAGGGTCCCACTCTGTCACCCAGGCTGGAGTGCAATGGTATGATCTCGGCTCACTGCAACCTCCGCCTCCTGGGTTCAAGCAGTTCTCCTGCTTCAGCCTTCCGAGTAGCTGGGATTATAGGCACATGCTACCATGTCCAGCTAATTTTTGTATTTTGGTACAGATGGGGTTTCTGCATATTGGCCAGGCTGGTCTGGAACTCCTGACCTCAAGCAATCTATCCACTTCGGCCACCCAAAGTGCTGGGATTACAGGTGTGAGCCACCACACCCGGCCTATTACTCTTTTCTTAACACTGGTCTTGAAGATCTTTCAATGTGAGTTCCTATAGATCTACCTCATTCCTTTTAACAGCTTGTAGTATTTCATGAACTAGATGTAACCATTTCCTACTGACAGGAAATTAGTTTATTTCCAACTTTTCAATCCCATTCATCCATCCAGCAGGTATCTGTTCAGCACCCACTATGTCCCAGGCAGTGATCTAGCTACTGAGGACACAAGAATGAACGACAAAGTTCTCACTCATGAAATTTTCACTTTAGTTGGGAGAAACATGATGCAACGAAAATCTTCATATATATATTGTGTGTACATGTGGGAGTATTTCTGTAGGATAGATTTCTAATGCTGAAATTGCTGAGTAAAGGGGGAGAATTGTGCATATTTAAAATTGGATTTTTCCAGATTCCAGGTATTCCAAATGCCCTCCGAAATAGTCGTGCCACTTTACTCTCCCATCATCAGTCTATCAGAGGGGATGCTTTCCCACAATCTCTTCATTGCTGAATATTTTCCACTTTTTTACTTAAGAGTAAAAGAGCATCTAATTGTTCCCTGAGTATAAGTGAGTCTAAGCATCTTGTATATGTTTATTTGTCATTTATTATTTTTTGTAATTTTCCTATCCAGATACTTGATACTTTATATTGAGCTGCTTATTTATTTCTTCTTATGGGAGCTTTTTATATATTTTAGACAACATGCATGTGCGCGTGCCCAAACACACACACACTCAGCCTTACAACCGCATCCCTGAAACCTTGACCTTGTGAACATGTCTTACTGGCAGCACCCCGCACTTGATCATTGCCTTAAGACTATTTCTTATTTTGATATTCTTTGGAAAGACTAGGAATGACAGTTTTATTTTCAAACCCAACAAATCCTCACATGGAAATGTTTGCTCTTGATTCTGCTTTTAAAAAATAAAGAATTCTTTTCTCTCCCTTTTTTTTTTTTTTTGAGACGGAGTTTTGCACTTGTTACCAAGGCTGGAGTGCAATGGCGTGATCTCGGCTCACTGCAACCTCCGCCTCCTGGGTTCAGGCAATTCTCCTGCCTCAGCTTCCTGAGTAGCTGGGATTACAGGCATGCGCCACCATGCCCAGCTGATTTTCTGTATTTTTAGTAGAGATGGGGTTTCACCATGTTGACCAGAATGGTCTCGATCTGTTGACCTCGTGATCCACCTGCCTCGGCCTCCCAAAGCGCTGGGATTACAGGCATGAGCCACCGCGCCTGGCCCTCTTTTCTCTCTTTCTTTCTGTACCTTATCAGAAACAGCTAAAAGAAGTGAGTTGGGCCAGGCAGTGTGGCTCATGCCTGTAATTCCAGCAGTTTGGGAGGCTGAGGCAGGCGGTTCACTTAGTCACGAGTATAAGACCAGATTGGCCAACAGGCTGAAACCCTGTCGCTACTAAAAATACAAAATTAGCCGGGTGTTGTGGCATACGCCTATAATACCAGCTATTCTGAAGGCCGAGGTGGGAGAATTGCTTGAATTTGGGAGGAGAAGATTACAGTGAGCTGAGCTTGCACCGCTGCTCTCCAGCCTGGGCAAGAGAGTGACACTTTGTCTCAAAAAACAAAACAAAACAAAACAGAACAGAAGTAAGAGTTGGCACTTTCAACATTCTGCCTGGAAATCTCCTTACCAAACCTACAAGTTCATTAAGTATATTTTCTACTCTCTG